CAAGAGCAACAGGTTGGTCTGGCCCAGGTTCCTATGAAATCACTGCTGCTGCCATTGGTCCCAGTGTGTATGATATTTTGTGTGCTCTCTGTAAGAGTGAAGTCTCTATTTCCCCCACTCCTGTGGAGCTCCTGCAGTTAAGCCCCACTGGCCTTCAAGGCCAAATGCTCTGGGGGCTCCTCCTCCCAATGCTAGACCCCCAGGATGGGGAGACTGACCTGGGGCTCAGAACTCTTACTCCAGTGGGATAACCTCCGCAATATAATTATTCTCCAGCTTAAGGCTTGCTCACCCCAGGGCATAGGACCCGATTATATCCTGAGTGGGCCCTTCCTACCATCCCGCTGTGGTTCCCTCTTTGTGTGAGACCAAGGGAATTTAAAACAGATTCTTAAAGTTAGTTGAAACCTTGAAGATCATCTAGTTCTAACTAATTCCTCCTGAATTAATATTTTCCAGAGCATCCCTGACAAATGATCATTTAGTTTTTTCTTGAATAACTCCAGTGTATTAAAATTTACTACTATCTTCACCTTCATTAAAACTCTTTAAGTATTTGGGTCACATCTCTCAACATCTCATTTCACTAGTCAAAATATTCTCCCTTCCTTCAGTTCTTGCTTCTTGACATGATATGGACTCCTGGCATCACCCTGACTGCTTTCTGGATGAGCTCAAATGTGTAAGTGTGCCTCTCTAAGTCTGGTCCAGATGTGGCCTGACTGAGCCAAGTAGAACTAAAGCATCCCCTGCTTGGTTGTGGACTTGGACTGTGAGGGAGCCTTAGGTCCCCTTAGATTTTCTTCAGTACTCACCCTATCACACTATTGACTCATTAAAACTGACACTAACTAAAACCTAGGGGTATACTTTAGGAGATGAGGTAATGGGTTTTGATTTATTTCAATTTTGTAAATAATATAGGAATACATCTACTTTATAAAATTTGTAAATAATAGAGATTAAAATCTTCATTCAAGTGTTAGAGCGCATGCTTAGCATGCACAAGGTCCTGGGTTCAATCCCCAGTATCTCCTCTAAATATAAATAAATCTAATTACCTACCACTCATAAAACAAACAAAAATCTTCATTCAATAAAACAATGGCCAAGGCCAAAGTCTTCCTTGACCATTGTCTCAAATCTTGGTCCTTTTGGTTATGTATCCTTCCAGACTTATTTCTATGTATTTACATAGCTATAGAGTTATATGTAGTTATATAGGATTTTAAAAACATAAATGGTATCATGGTTTGTGTTATTCTATGTGTTCTTTTTTCACTTAATATGTTTCAGAGAGCTTTTCATGTCAGTACATTTTTTATAGCTGATATATTATGGATCCCATAGCATGAATGTAGCACAGTTTCTCTAACCATTTTGTTGTTGGACATATAGATTGTTTCTAATTTTTTGCTGTTACAGTGTTTCATTGAAAATTCTTTATGTCTCTTAGTGTTATGTAGGAATATCTCTCTGGGGTAAATATTGAGAGATTCAATTGCTGGATCACAGGGTATGCACATTTAACATTTTAACACATAATTTTAATTTGCCATAAAATTATTTCTTTTCCCACTAGACTTGTGAGAGTATCCTAGCCATTTCCCCATACCTTTACTAATACTTGGTATTAGCAGTCTTTTAAATTCTTGCTGATATGAAAAGTGAGCAAAAGTTATCTCATGTGTTATCTATATGTGTGTGTATATATAGGCATAAGTGTTGGATCTTCTAAGTAATTTTCAAAACATATTATGCCATATCTCCCATATCATATATATATGACATCTATAAAGCACAAAGGTTAAAATAAGTGTGTATGTACATTTTTAACCTTTGTGCTAGACTTTACATTTAACCCATTTAAACTGAATCTTGTGAGATTTGATCTAGCCTGCCAAGATCTCTCTGCATTCTGATTCTATTCTCCAACATATTCATGGTCCCTATCATATTCTTGATATCTACAAATCTGGTATCTGTTATCAATGTTCTTAACTAAACAAATTGGTACAAATGTTGAATGGGACTGAACTCAGGTCAGAACCTGATGGTATATACTAGAGATCAATAATCTATTATTAGTTAAGGATTTTGGATATTGCTCACATTGCCTTTTCGGCCAACAGCAAAGGAACCTGGTTCACCTGGAACCTGCTGCTGCAGGCTCCACTGTCAGACTTCACAGAAGAGAAGTCTGAGTGCCATTCCCAGGCCAAAAGGAGAACATTTGAAATTGAGTAGTAAACCAAGTTTACTACCCCCTGCATGGGTAGTCTCCTCAGTGTTGTTGGGTTTTTTTGTTTGTTTTTTTTTTTCACTTTCAAGACTGTCTTACCTAGTCTTGGCCCTTTGGTTTTCCATGTAAGTTTTTTGTTGTTTTTTGGGGGGTTTTTTGATAGGAGGAGGTAATTTGATTGATTGATTGAATGGAGGTACTGGGGATTGAACCCAGGACCTCGTGTATGCTAGGCATGTACTCTACCACTGAGCTATACCATTCCCCTCTTCCATGCAAGTTTTAAAATCAACTTATCCATTTCCTTATTTGGAACTGCATTCAATCTATACATCAGTTTGAAGGAGAATTGACATTTTTATAATTATGAGTCTTCCTATCTGTGGACATTGTTTATGTCTCTCTTGGGCTTTGTTTAATGTATTTCAATAGAATTTTATAATTTTCTCCATATAGTTTTACACATAGTGGTAGAGACTGCTGGTTATGCTTCCTTTCTTCTATAGTAACAGAATCTCCAGTTTTTAGCTGGGCACACAGACACTCTGAATAAAGATTGTATTCTTAGAATAAAGACTCCCTTGCAGCTAGAAGATCATGTAACTAATTTCTAGCTAACAGGATATTAACAAAAATGGTATGCAACTTCTGGGAAGTATCATTAAAGGAAGCTAAGCTCCCTTCTCTTCCCTTTTCTGCTTCGTGCTGGTTGGACTGCAGATAACGTGGATGAGGCCAGCCATCTCAGACCATGAGGTAGAAAAGTATGTATGAGGATAGCAGAACAACAGAAGGAACATGAATTCCTGACCATTATGGAACCACCATGCCAACTCTGGCTTTGTCAGAAAGGAAAAAGGATGAATATTGAATAAGGCAACTAGGAACGTCTGCCACACCTTCTAAAAGGCTACTGAACCCTAATTATATGCTAGTGTTACCTGTGGAGACTAGGGCCTGAAATTATGATCTTGTAAGCAAAAATGACATTACAGTGTTATGACAGGAAAGTAGAAAGATACTGATGCTGGAGGCACAGTATGAAAGAGATGGTATGCAACAGAAGTGTAGAAAATGGCCAACTAAGCAAGAAGTTCAATTAATGATTTTGACATAAAAACATGAGATCAATGTTTTTAGTGTGTGATCAAGAATAATCTTTGGAGATTATGGTCACAGGGGGTATTATTTAGGGAAAATTATGCACACAGAAATAAGGCAAAAAGATGACCACATGATCATTTAATATAATGCTAGAGCTTTTTCAAGTAACTCTTTCTAGGGTCACTAGATTATCTTGGGGAATGTAATTTTGTTTGATTAGCACCCAGAAGTTTTACCTCCCTCAAAAATTAGAGGGTCACATGACTGAGGATGGTATGAAGAGGCCTTGGAAATAATTTAAAAGTAAATGATTAGCCTCAACTTGGAGAAAGAGAACAAGGTGCTTTGGTAGTTCTGGAAATTTTTATCAGCTGAGTGGAGAGTCTCCCAAAACCTGAATTTCATATAGGGCCTAAAAACAAAACAAAACAAAAACCCTCTGCTTTACCAGACTGAGGAATAAAAGGGTTGAATAATTAAGAGAGACAGTAAGGATAAGAGCAAGAGTTTTTTAATTAGAGAAGCGGGAAGGCAACATGAGATATTAAGTACACCCAATTTCAGGCACCGAAGACTAGATAACAAGGCTATCAGAGCACATCTTAGTTCCCATACCAGGACCTTTTTTTTTTTTAATGAATTCTCTGAAACATAGGCATATTTTGAGGAGGACATGTGCTCACAGTCTGGGGAAATTTCAAAGGATTCAATACATGCCTACAAGAAAGACTGGCATATTCGGGATGTCAACAATGCTTTTCTTTTGAGGTTAGGACTGTGGCCTGTATAGTTATCCTAAGAACAAGAGCCATTCTTAATATGGAGTGTGCACTACTCCAGAAGTTCCTCTGACTCTGAATAATACCAGCGAACTAAAAGTCCCCGAGGACAGGACCTCCCAGACCTCCTGGAGACATGCTGACTCCTTACCTCTAAGCTGCATAGACCCTTCAGTTAATGTTAACTCACATATATGCTATATAACAGGATCCTTGTCCTCAAGGGGTTTAGCCTTAGATTCAAATGTTTCTTATTATTAACATAAATGAATGGTGTCAAGAGCCTCAGAAGAGAAAGGCTTGTATATAAATAACACCAGAGAACAGAGATGGGCCATGGTAGAAAGAAGATACGAATAAAATTTAGCTGAGGCAGAACAATTTCATTTTGTCAATTTACAGAAAAATGATTCTATAGGACACTCCATGGAGCGTCCCCATTTCCAAACAATGTTGGAATGAGAGAAGAGAGCTGAGGATGTGCAGAATAACTACAGGTTCCCAACAGTGCCTTTTATTTATCCCTATTATCTAAGACTGTTGTTCCCCATCCGTGGCGGAATTTACTCATCTTCCTTCCTCAGCCTCTGAGTGACTCCACGGTTAAGGCTTTGGTGTGGGGAAAAACCCTCTGGCACAAAAGCAACAGCCGGAGCTCGCAAATCAGGGCTCAGGAAACACCGAGACGGCCATTATTAGCCGCCAGGGTCCGCGTAGGGAAGGAGGGCGAGCCCACCGGCCCAGGCGCCGGGGCCGCCGTTACGTAACCGTCCGCGAGAGCCGGAAGGCCCCGCCCAGCCCGAGGCCCCGCCCCTGCCCTGCCCCGCCGGTTAGGTGCCGTGCGCAGTCGCCGGAAGCTTCCGCCCCTTCCCCCTTTTATGGAGATCCAATTTTTTTAAAAGTGCTGACGCCACCGCGTAGGACGGGCCCTAAAACCGTGATCTAGGAGCGCCTCTCTCACTTCTGACTTCCGCTTCCTTCAAGTAAGGAGTCGGGGTCTCCCCCGTTTTTCTCACCAGGTGGCGACGGCGGCGGTTTGCGATGTTTGGCCTCCAGAGAAACGCAGTAATTGGACTCAACCTCTACTGTGGCGGGGCCGGGTTGGGGGCTGGCAGTGGCAGCGG